AAAGTGCCAAATAGACCTTTAACAGTTAGAAATAACATCTCACATCACTCCAACCGATGTGTCAAAGCTGATGTGGAATGAAGGCTTGAGGTTGAGATGTTATTTTTGACATCCCAAAAGTAAGATGTCAAATGAATATTTTATTATTTTTTCTTTTCTTTTCTTTTTAATTAAAAATAAATCAACACTAAAATGTAATAAAATAATAATTTAATTTGACATATCAGGTGGAGTGTAAAGCTGTATAAGATGTCAAATAGCAACATCAGCCATCAAATTTAAATTTGATGTTTAGTATTTGACATCTCCCTTGGAGATGCTCTTACAATTTAAAACTAGTCTACGTTTGTGGCCTCTGGAAGACAAATAAGAAGACAAATAAAAGTACATCATTAATTTTGATATCTTCCACTCATTAAATAAGAAAAAAGAAAAATTGTGGTGGTGAATTTTATATTCTTAAATTTGGACATGGTCCAACATACGACTGTATGAAGTGAGATATTTACTGGCGAAGATGCTGCGGAGAATGGGCTTTGCGAATCTATTTTGCCACTGGGTGATGGAGTGTGTTGTTACCCTACCGTATAGTGTGGTAGTTAATTATGCTTCTACATGTTAATATTTTAACCCATTATCCATATGTGGTCTATGATAAGGTGGTCCGCAGTTCTAAGTTATGCGGGAATACCTTGCAAGTGGTGTCAAACAATGTTAGTATTTTGCATCTTCTATTGAGAGGGCTGATAATATACTAAACTACACACATTACACAGATACTAGAACTCGAACGTAACCTAGGACCTTGCTTGAGGAAGTAATTACTTCAAACCACTACAGTAGTAGGTCCTTTGCGTATTTTCCATCTTCTTATTGACAATGACTGTACTTTTATTTTCGGCGAATGCAAAAAAACCTCCTCGTGTCCGATTTCAATTGGGTTTGTCCATTGGCGGACCCATCTAATGACTACTGTGGGCGCGCACACTTAAAAAAACTATTCAGCCATAATGTTTAACTTTATTTTGGTTTCTACAGGGTTTTTAACCCCCACATGACCCATTATTTACTTAAACCTTTAGATTTTTGCCCAATCCTTGCCCACTTCCACTTCCATGTGACTGATCGCCACTGGGCCACATACATGACAAAACTCGGTTCATAGAATACTCGGAGCGTTATCGCCCCTGGAAACCACGTAAGGCACTCATGGCTGCCCACGTGTCGACCTCTGATTGGGCCTTTGCTCGGACGTGACAAGTTGCAATAGCCCACTTGTTTAGTTTAGTGGGTTGCGCCTCCCCAGGCCATGCTAACTGCCCTAAGACTACGCTTATAAATAGAGGACTCATCTTAAGCAAAACATGACTGACTCTTCATTTAACTTGGAATTTCTCTCACGTACATATACAAAAACCTCTTGCATCATTGTATTACTCACTTTTATCAGATCAATAGAAAAAATTCTCCCCATTTTTTACTTGTGTTCTTCCATATCTCAAAATCACTTCACACACTTTGATCCTAGTTACCTTGCACCCAATCTAGGGTCGATGTTCGCGTTTAAGTCTCACCGGTCAACAAATGTAAATTGGTTAGTATGTTAATGTTAAAACAAAACTTTCCTTCGAATAGTGTAGAAGTTGTACTTTGTGGTTTTCATTGGTCTTCTTTTTTTCAGTCCTAATTGTGTCTTACAAATGAAGCATATACAACTCAGAGATTTGCAATAGAAGATTCAAATTAAAAATCTAAGGGGAAGACAATTGAGTATAGGTAGGAGCGCTCAAACACTGAACAATTAGTAAGTTAATATGACGATAACCACTTCTTTGGGTTCGCTCACTATTTTGAGGGTTTTCTAGTCTGCGTTTTGGAAGGGATTATCTTTATATTGTTTTAGCTCTACATAGTCACTTGGGATGAATTTTTTTATCTATGTTTGTCACCACAGTATTTTGCATGTTTTCCTCTTCATATAAGTTTAAGTTGTGCCAATCCAAACCAATTTGCTTGTGGTTGGGAGGGGTCCCCTTTTGTACTAAACTGAGTGTTGGTTTAGTTTTCCACTCCTCCCTTCAGTATTTGTTTTCTCTTGTATCTTGTGCTTTCTCTTTTTTCAAGTTGAATGAAACTAGAGTTCTTGACCACCAAAAAAAAAAAAGACCAAGACCAAACCATGGCATATGGATAATGGATCAGGGCCAACCTCATGAGGCCTTTGCCCGTTTTTACTTACACAAGTATATGAGATGTAAAAATTAGTCATGGCTTAGAATGAAAGGAAATATTCTTGGGGCTTGTTTGGGACTGCTTCTTTAGGAAGCACTTTTCATAAGTATTTTTTGCAAAAGCACTTTTATTATAAAGATGTTAAAATTTTCATAAGAAAACCAAGTGCTTCTTGGAAAAGCACTTGGGTGTGCTTTCTGGAAAAGTACTTGGGTGTACTTTCTGGAAAAGCACTTGGGAGTGCTTCTGAAAGAAGCACATAAAAGGTCTTTCTAAGCACTTCTAATATTTTCAGCCAAACGCTGTTAGAAGCGCTTTTAGCCCTCCCAAAAGCACTCCCAAACAATCATATCACTTGTAGTAGTATTAGGTCAATGCAATTTTTCAAAGACAAAACCTATCATTGCAAATACATACTGTCGAGTAATTATAATGAAATATTGGTATACATTTAGAACAATGCGAGGCATTTATACTTCCTGTAAATTACAGTTTAATACATTTACAAAAATAATTAATAAAAAATACAATAAGAAAAATCTCTACACACATGTCACACTATAATTGGCCAAAAAGTATGAGTTCCTACTTCTAAGGATAGAGGGAAATATTTTACATACACCTATGTGAATATCTATTGATAGTCCCGTTCTCCGGACCCTGTGGTCTAAGGAGTTTGTGGCCACCCACCCTTGGATCTAATCTAAGGGTGGATAAAAAAATAATTTTAAAATCCATAAAATGTTTTTTTTTTAAAACTATATTAGTTAAAAAAAAACATGTTTTCTGAAAAAAAAAATAAAAATAAAGAAACAAACAAACAAACAAAAACCACAGTGCAGCCGCTGCCCACCCTCTTCTAACTCCATGGTAGAGTTCGACTCCTTATAACCTTTTAATTCTTTTGACATTAGGGTAGGTGGATACTTCTGATTCTTTTGCTATGTTTTTGTTGGTTAGTTTTTTTTTTAGCTTTTTGTGGATGCATTGTTAAAGAAAGAAGAGACAATTTGGGTGTTATGAACTCTTGTTCTCCTTTACCACCTTTGATTCAATTTTTATGATTTGAAATCCTAGTGTTTACCTTGAAATATGCAACAAAGCCCTACAGCAAACTTTGTTAAAGTGTGAGTTGCGAGTGTGCCGCGATTAGCAATTAATCAATTCTAAATTCTAATAGACGGAAATATAATTAAATATAAAAAAAGAAGAGAATTTCCGCACCAAGTAAATGATTCTAATCAAAAGACTGAATTGAAATGGTAAACTAAGTCAATGAGGTTCTTTTCTATGCCTTAAGGAAAATAAGGACTTCATAATTTCTCTAATACAAAAGGTAAAGGATGATGAAAGTAAATAAAACAGTAAACAATGAAAACAAGTAAAACAAATTGAACAGAACTACAAGTTGTCACCACCTTGTATCAATTCTGGTTTAAAACACAACTAAGTTATGAGTGACAATCGAGTAAGGATAAGAACTATGTGGTTCTGATGGATCAAAACAAGACAAGAGCACCACCAGAATGGTCTAGAGAACGAAATAACCTTTTATGAGTTTTACAATCAGTTTTTTCCTCAACTTATCATTGATTTATATTATAACACAAGAATTATGAGTTACCGTATTCTAGTAACATGGAGGCACTACAAATTTTACAATTAGGGCTTGGGATTGCAGAGTCTGAGTCTCTTCTGTTCTTACACCCCTTACAGTTTCATCATTATCGTATTTGTCCTCGCACTTTTGCAGTTAGGTTTTGCAGAGAGAGGAAACAAACTTTTTTTGTTAGGGATTTTTAGTGACGAAAGGCTTTAGGCTCACCATTGCCGTTGAAGGTGAAAGCCGGACTCTATCTTGGGTAAGTAGATTTCATTATGCTATCACCTCAAAGAAAATTGGAAGTTATGAATTCATGGAAAGTACAGAGCTTATGGTTTCATCTACATGTTCAAGTCATCTTCTTGCTTGCTATTTGTGCGTCTGTGTGGGTACAACTTAAATTTACAAAATATTGTCTTCTAATAAAGGTAAATGATTTTCTCACTCCCCTTTTATCCACCGACACTCTTTTTTGTTTAGAAAAATGGAGTATAAGTGGATAAAAAAGGAGTGGGAAAATCAGTCCCCCTAATAAATTGTTTAGCGCTATATTGCATATTAAATCCAAACTATTTTAATGGTAAAAAAAAAAAGAAGATCCAACCGTTGAAATTTAAATCCAACATTTAAAATAATATTTCAAATTAATCTAAATCATATCCAACCCCAAAACTTACTCAAAACTCTATAAATATCTACCTATTTCTCAAATAAAATTATATTTATGGAATTTCAATATTTTTTTAGGTCAAATTGTTCAAAAAAATTAAATTAAGAAATAAATGAAGAAAAGTTATACATGAAAAAAAAAATTACACTTAAACCATTCTTAAACAATTTAATAAAATTACGGACTTAAAAATTGAGTTTGAAGAGTTGGGGAAAAAACGGTTTGAGTCTGGGCAAAATTCAAATAGTTACCTTTTGGAGATGAGAAATTTGGGTTTAGGATCAAATGAGTTGGAAAAGGCTTAAGTGATAATTTGAGAAGCCAAATCCATTGGATAACTTACGAGAAAATCACGTATTATTAAAAATTACAGGAAAAAGTGATAAGGTAAATCTACTTACATTTTCTGATTATGCAATAATCAGATTTGAGGAGGTGCTGGTTTTAATAAAATTTTCAAACTTCCAAAAATACCCCAATCGATTTTAACGCTCTCTCCTCTTGTTGCGTGGTCTCCTTCCCATCACGTTGCTTCTTCACGCTCTCTCCACTCCACAGAGCTCACTCCTTTCCTTCTCTTCCATCTTGCCTACAGTTTTTTCTTGTTGGATCAATTGAAGCGCACTGCTGAGCCACAAGACTCAGGTAAGAGGCGCATATTATGTTTATTTCTTTTCACTTTCATTCTTCCCTCTTTCTCTTTAATTTCTAGGGTTTTAACTTTCAATTTTAGCTGCTGTTGGTTTTCTATATTACGTATTGGCATGAGAATGGCATTTTTCTATTTGGGTTTTAGGGCCCTTGCCTGATAGGGTCAAGTTCCTATAAACTGGTTGAATTGGTATAGAAAAGGGAAATAGGCAAATAGATTTCGAGGGGGTCAAACCTCCAAAGCATAAAGCTGTATTTTTTCCCATAAACTGGTCATAATATTTTTTTTCTTCTTCTTTTTTAGGTTCTTCAATTCTAGTACTCTTCTTCTTTTTATTGTTTCTTTCTAATGTTGGGATTTAGGAACAAAGGAATTTAGGGATTTAGTGAACCCATCTATTTTAGGGAACCCAAATGCCCAAATGAGCACTTGGTGAAGAAGATTCTAGGTGAAGCTTCTCTGCTTGTGAAGCATATATTAGCATGAATAACTCCACCCATAATCGACGAGCTAAGAAAATCCTCCATTTAAGATAGTTGCAGAGCAGGTACTACCGCCATTGTTCTCCTTTATGCTACTTACACCGGCTTAAGATAGTTATTTGATGATTTCCAGTTTGTTCTGTTATATGTGTGCGTATATAGATATGTGAGTTTATGATTTGGCTTCATATGGATCTCTTTTGGCTTTCTTATTCTTAGTTTATGATGTGAGAATTACAGGGTTGGTTGGAGTTCAGTGTTGAATATTCCAACGTAGTTTTGAAATTTTGGTCTTTTGTAAGTGTTATTTTATTGTGTGGCTTGCAACATAAGGGTGCACGCAGAATTTTTTTCTTTGCTCTGTTTTTAATTTTGAATTTGGGTCATTGTTTTATTTCATATTTCATCCTTTTAGTTTTTGTTAGCTTATCAATTTGTGGGCTTGCAGCCTGCAATTTTCGGAAGAAGTAATTATCAATTTCTGTATAATTTGGGAAATATCGTATAAACAAGAGATTCTGATGAAATTTCAACTAAGAAAAATAGGCTTGAAATTTCAGCCCACCTCATTTTTAAACCCGGTGTCTGTCCCTATGTATAGTATATAATTTATGGTTGAATTATCTTGATTTAGCATTCCCATTAACAAACTTTTGCTGATTGGGATATAGATACATAGTAGACTGGTACATCACCTTTAGCTTTTGTGCTGAGTTCTTTATGTTGTTTTGTCCAAATTTATACCACATTATTCATATGGATTTTAGACAAGTCTTTATTCTGTAATCAACGAAGTTCTAACTTCTAGTTTTTCTATCAGCTTTTCTTAGTCAGGAGAAGTCCAGTCGTGCATTTGCAAATTCATTGATGGGGCGTAACCTTTCAAATCATTCAGAATCTCCAGTTGGGGACCCTCCTCGTAGGAGGAGCCCATCTAGGAAAAGTCCATCCAGAATTGAAAGATCACCTACTCGACATAGGAGGTCCCACAGGGGTAGTTCTCCACCAAGAGAGAAACATTCGGGTCACCCTAAGTCTCCAAAGCATGCAAGGTCCCCCTCTCCTCCTGTTCGCTCTCCTTCTCCTCGGACAAAACGGTTAAGAAGAGCTCAAGCTGGCAGAGAGGCTGTGAAAGAACCTGAAAGAAGTAACGGGAGGGGAACTGATAGGGGTTTACAGAAGGAAGGGGTTTCAGAGAGAGATGTTGGGAGTGATAGGAAAGAGAAACGGTCGGGAAGAGACGATGTTGATGGTAAATCATCAAGACCAAGACATGGTACTTCTCCATCAGATCGACAGCGAAGGAGTAGGCATATATCTCCCTCACCTCAACCTGCTGGTGTTACCAGAGACGTGGAGAAAGTAATTGAGAATGACAGTGAAAGGAATCATGGCAGAGGGAGTGATAGAAGAATGCAAAGGGAAAAGGGTTCAGATAGGGAAACTGATAGTGAAAGAGTGGAGAGAAGGTCAGGAAAAGACAGTACTGATCATAAGTCTTCAAGAACAAGACATGGGCGATCTACTTCTCCATTGGATCGGGACTACAAGAACAGACAAAGATCTCTTTCACCTCAACAAGCTGCCAATACCAGAGCTCGTGATGAGGTGTCTGGTGATATCCACTCCTTCAAATGTCTCATCCCCCTCCCCAATAATTTTAATTCCGTTATTGAAAATTATTGCTTCTTAAATTTCATTTTATTTATTTATTTATAAGATACTTCTTAAATTTCACTGATATTTTGTAGATTTTCAAAAGTTCTTTTACATAGGTTTATTCTCTAATAACTTCCATTTCAGAATATCTTTTTTCATATTTATCACCTCCTAACTCACTCCAAGGAGGAGTTAATGTGGAAAAGTGGAAGTGGTAGTATGTTTTAAGACTTTTTTGAATGAAGGAACACACGCAAATTAATTATTCAATTACGTTTGCATTCATTGGGACAATTATCTGTGATGCTTCTAAGTGGTTTCTGTTTCTAGTTGCGATGATTCTTATCTAAAGTGTCTAACCAGAGGTAAACATTTTCAGGTGCCAAATTCAAGAGAAGATGAGCATAGGTGGGTATCTTTTAAATTTTTTGTTTACACTTCGCTGAACCATTGATAAAACTATCTGATGTCCAAATATATTTTTCTTGCAATGGACCAATGATTTCTGGAATGTTATTGCACTTTGATATACTTAGTCACTCTATTTATTTGTTCTGGTGAAAGAGAAGAGATAAAGGTCAGTGTAAGCAATATGTTCTTGCCAATTTGGCAAAGTAAACTTTCATGATGTAGTAAAAGTAATAAAACATGCCAATTCTTAATAATACTAGATAAGGTTCATTGGAAAAAATATTTTAGTTTTTCTCAATTCCAGTTTCTTAATTTCTGTAGTAAAAGTGATAAAGCATTAATTGCCAATTTAACATAGTAAACGTTCATGTCTGTTAATTTGTTGGGGTAGATCACATAACTTTAGGTTACTTCACTTTGGGTTCTGTTCATTTGAAACTTTTAATGTATCAGTGCTCATGCTTTAATGTACATAAGCTTTGATGTAGCTTTTGATGAGCTGTTCATTGCTTTCTTGGGCAGGGATGATGAGAATGATGCAGTAGCTATGATGAAGGCTGCTGAAGAGGCCTTGGAAGCAAAGCAAAAGGTAAGTAATGCATAGCTTGGTGTCTTTCTTCAATCATAACTATCATCATCAAATTTTTGTTACGCATGCCAAATTTTCTCAGCTATCCGGTGCAAGCTGTGATAGGTCTTGTTTATCCATACTGCTTTTATTTCTGAATATCGTGTAGCACAAATAATTTGTTTAATTGTGTGGAAGGTTGAAACTGTACTTACGTTTTGCTCCTTTTACGACTCGACTTACAGGAAAAACCTTCGTTTGAGCTATCTGGAAAGCTTGCTGCAGAAACTAATAGAGTCAGGGGTGAGATCACCTTTTCCTTGGGGTTTGATACAAAAGCTGAACTTTTTGTTCTCTTTTGTTTTTGAAAATAGGAAGAAATAGATGCACTAATCTGAACCCTTAAAGGGCTTAAATAGAGTACAACCTAATCACAATGGGAAACGAAATAATTACTAGATCACTTACTTGAGGAAGCTAGATCACAACCCCAAACAAACTTGGAAAGCAATACTCTACTTATCTTAAACTCCTATTTAGAACAAACTTTTGTTCTCCAACACTTTCCCTTGAAGTTGGAGCGTAGATGATAATCATGCCCAGCTTGTTACATAACTCATAAACATAATTAAGAACATCAAGACATAAACTTGTGCCATCTTGAATGATTTTTCCACAAAATGAATAAGATAGGCACACGTACCTCATCATAACATATAGCCTCAACTTTTGGGCCCCACAAGAAAATTTAAATATGTGGGTCAAATATCAACCAAAACCTCCAGTAGACTGAATTTAATAAATTCTGTACCAAATACAAATCACTAACACTCAATTAGAAAATCACCTAATTTAGGAAACTAGATCACATTCCTTAACCAACACTCATTTAATAAGCAAATAAATTAAGTACAATCACAACGTGGAATTAAATAACAACCAAATCGCACCCTTAAACAACAAGGAAACCAAATATTCTAATTAACTTAGAATCCTAATTACAATATAGTTTTAATTCTCTGATATTTTTTATATATACATTGCGGAGATTGTGCATTTCTATATGTTTATTCATTATAACAAATAAAAAGAAAATAATATATGTTTTGTTTTCTATATGGTTATTATTTTGTCAGGTATAACACTTCTATTCACTGAGCCTCCAGATGGACGAAAACCTGATGTAAGATGGCGGCTTTATGTTTTTAAGGGCGGTGAAGTGTTAAACGGTAAGTCTCTTGGAGATTAATACTGGAAGTTATCTTCTTGTTTTTGTGCCTTTCTTGAGACCTACATATGCTTCTTTAATGGTGAAGCACTTAGAGTAGTTGAATGATAATGAAGTAGCTGCTGAGTACTGACTGCAGGTTGCTTCTTTTTAGACGTACAGTGCTTTTAAAAGACCTCATGTGTCATGTCTGATCAAAGTACCTAGTTCCAAGCCAATTAACTGTCAAAATTCTTAAATCTCAAAGGCTGAAGGGATAATGACTGAAGATTCTCTTATTGTTTTTGTAAGACCTTGGCTGCAACCTACAATGCGGCATCAATTTTCATTTCAGTAAATAAGTGACCTTAGGATGTAACAACGTTTTAGCATCCATATAACTTCTTCCATCACGTACTTAACCTCTCCTTATAACACTGATTGCTGAGACAAGCAGCCTGTGGTAATTCTGTATGTTTTCTCCTAATGGTAACATCTCTTTCAAGTTCAAATCATTTATCGGATTGGGTGCAATGGTGTGAGTAATGAATATTGGACAGTTCAAGAAATATTTGAGACTTTCTGTTCATAGATACTATGTTGCAATATATGGGAGAAGAAACATATTTTTGTGGCCCAAAATATAGTGCATGTTTCTGTTTTTTGTGCACATATGGTTGTTGTACATTAACGTTTTTAGTACTTGTAGAAATTTCCTTTTTAGATTTTTAAGCTTTTGGTAGTTTTCTTCCCAAAAGAAAAAAGGTACAAATCCAATAGTATTGAGTAGTGTATTTAAACTCAAAACTGTTGGATTTATGTGCATTTTCCTCTGGTATTGAGTACTTTTATGCATCTTGTTGCTCTTAACTCAAAACTGTGTTTAAACTTTATTGACTTTGGATGATCGAGTTGGAATGAAATTCTGGACCAGTCAAGTTCTATTACTTAGGCGAGCTATCGTTGTGTAATGGTTACTACTCCCAACCTGAGCTTATTCCATTTTCTTTTGGTAATGACTTAGTTTTTGGTGATTTTCCATATCTGGCAAGCATGCAAAATAGTGCAATTATTTTTCTTGTGCATTTTAATGGTACTCTCTGTTGGGATTTCTGAGTCCATGTCTTTGGGATTCTATTCATGGTGATGAAAATGTTCTCCTTGATGTACATATGATCTACAGAACCCCTGTACATACATCGGCAAAGCTGTTACCTCTTTGGGAGGGAAAGAAGGGTAGCAGACGTCCCTACAGATCACCCATCCTGTAGCAAGCAACATGCTGTTATACAATTCAGGTCGATCTTGAATTTTGCATTTTTAAAATTTTTTTGCCATTTACATTCTTGGTTAGTAACTAATATCATATTTTATTTTCCCGCCATGCCAGGCAAGTTGAAATCGAGCAACCTGATGGTACGCTATCAAAGAAAGTAAGGTAAGACAGTTAATTTGCGGCTAATTCCATAATTTAGGAGGGTGAATTTTTCAAATCTCATATCTCATTTCCTTTGTGCACCGTCACAGGCCTTACTTAATGGACCTTGGAAGCACAAATAAAACTTTTCTTAATGTAAGTGGCTCAATTGATATATTTTCTTCTTTTCTTTTGATTACAGTTTTGGCATTTGTGTTGTGTATGAGTAAGCTGAGGCTTTCCTGTATTTGCAAGAATTTAGATTTAACATTTGCTTTTCTTTTGCAGGATACTGCAATTGAACCTCAACGGTATTATGAACTAATGGAAAAGGACACCATTAGATTTGGTAATAGTAGGTAGGTCACTAATCAATAATCCAACTTAAGGTTTTGTGGTTCTTAGATTGATGTCTCCTAGAAATTTTCTTCTTTTTCTGTTGGTATTCATGCGTTATTCCTGAATGAATACTGTAATGATACTTGCAGCTGAATGCCTGAATTTAATTGGTTTGGTTTCTATGGTTATTATGTTTGAATTGAGTTGAAACAATTGGTTTTAGAAACCAATAATTGTTGTTTGGTTCAGTAATGTGCTGGTTAAGGGCCTACATCATGTTTGTTAAATTTAGGAGTTGCATGACAAGTAAAGTTGTTAGTTGGACTTGACTACACTGGTCATAAAGAATCATAGTAAATGGTAAAAGGATTCCAGGCAATTGGAACGGTAAACCCATGGGGGAGGGGGGATGTAAAAGGTAGCACATTCCCAAAGAGTGCATACCAAACATGAGAGCAGAGGAAGCTATTGTAGCTAATGGAGGTTTCATGTAAGCACTGGAATTCAAAAATCTAACATTAAAAATGAGGAGATTTTAATGCGAGTCATGTTCAGATTATTCTACCACCAACCCTATATTTTCTTTACAAGTGCGTACTTTTGAAGTCAGGCTGTCAGTAAGTTTTGCATTGGCATAGTGATCAGCTTGATCCTATTAGAGCATTTGATCATGCGAATGTTTAAGGTTTGTAGAATTGCAGCTGAATTATACAAATCGAAATCATAGGTCATGCTTGATTTAGTTTGAGTCATCTGATCCTTGATTAGTTTATCTGATCCTTGATTAGTTTAAGTCATATCTGATGCCTGCGTTTCTCCCTTTCATAATTGGGCCCTCATTTTTTGTATCATTAATTATGAATTTTATAGTTACAATTTTTAGGGCAATATTTGAAGATAATAAGGTTGTGGAAGGTTCCGAAAGTCATTCAAATGTCGACTGGTAAGAGTTATCTGCAGCATTATGTGTTTAATTTTTTAAGAGACTAATAAAGCTAATCAGAGAAGGAACCATAACATTCTTCTGGCTGCTCCATTTTCTGTGAGTACATGTGTGTAGTCTTTGAAGATTATATCTGTCATGCAAACTGAGCTGTCTTAGACTCTTCGGTTTCTAAAGCAGAAACTATGACGACTGACTGAAAGATGGTTTTTGTTTCTATATGATCTATTCTTATTCGTTTTGTTACTCAAATTGTGCCTCAAATTACTGGACAGCTGGGATTTTAAGATGGTTGTGACTATTTCAAATTGAACGGAGAATCTTAGGATTCTGCTTTCCGAAGTGATTTGTAATTGTGTTTCATCACTTCCTCATGAGGCTTAGAAGTATGCTCGATGAGAAAAATCTGTAGTTTTACTGGGGAATTTCTTGTGTGCTGTCTCTGATATAATATGTGATCGATGCTGTATTGCTTCTAATATTTTTGTGGCATATTTTTGACGTCATTCTTATAATTTGGTTTTGCAGCCGAGAGTATGTATTACTGCACGAGAACTCTATGAATTGACGGGCTCAATTGGCTACTCGAATGCCCTTCCGATTAACATTTGGGGATCTTTGATGCATGAGAAGTCTTTTCTTTTCTTTTCTTTTTTCCGGCAGATCAGATGTATGGGAATGGGTGGATTTTATGAATAGCATCAAATTTTCTGAATACGTTTCATGGATGTTACTGTAAATTATGCATGGTATGTTATATCTCCTCGTGGTTTGTGATTTTCATGAATCTGGATGTATCCTTGGGCCGCACTATAAATGGTTGCCAACAGCTGGACTAAGGGTGAGTCGAGCACAAATTATTATCTCTGTGGAAATGTTAAATAGTAGAGAACTGTTATTGGCATTTCGAAAAAGTCATACTGCACTCCTCTCTTATGAAAGAAGAGTGCAACGACTCTTTTGGCGTGCCAATAACAGCTCCGTTTGTGTAAATTATATTCCTAGGTACCAATGTTCTTTTGTGTCTTGTGGACGTTGAAATTTTGTTTGAAGAAAGAAATAAGGGCAAAGATGTGGGAAATTAGTACAAAGTTGCTTCTAGTACTTGGTTCTGGTTGGGGACAGGTACACGTACTTGAGTATTCTGGTTCAAATAAGAATGTCCAAACCTCCTCGAACACTAAATTATAATTTGTTGGTGGTCAAATTAAAATGTACACATTATGGAACACTAATTGACAATTCACATTGGGTATGGAACGCTAAATTACTCTTTTTTATTTTTGGGTGAATCTTCCCATTCTTTTTCTGTCATATTTACCTACATGTGCTTAATCCTAATCTTTTAGGGCTTGTTTTGTTCAAAGGTTAGGAGTTTGGAAATGAATTTCAAATTGCATTTCCATATTTGGTAAGTGTACTCTTGGGAATGCAATTATGGACTATTGGGTATGGACTTCCAATGTAGGGGAGAAGTTCATACCCTTGGCTCACCTTGAGAAATTTTTTCCCCCACTTGGAAAGACATTTAATGCAGTCTTTTAGGATGAACTTACTCATGTTATTATTTTTGAATATCACTTTTGACCCTTAAAAACTCTACTCTTCATGGTGATAAACTTTAAGAACAAGAAAACCAAGGATATTGTTGGAAGCTTGATAACTTTTCATTCCTAATATTGCACTAACTAAACATGAGAATATGAGATAATTGCATTACCTAGTCCTCATTTCCCAGCATCCCAAACATGGGAATGAACATCCTCCATTCCCATATCGTGGGATTGGACATGAGAATTTTATTCCTAAGAAGTTCAATTCGCGAACCAAATAGGCCCTTAGGTTTCATTTAGATAGAGAAATTTGAAAGAAATGATTTGAATTTGACGAGAATGCTAAATTTACTTAAATGTATTTGAACTAACTAAATATAGTATATTTAAAATGACTACGTACAAGGAATCATTCGAAAACATGAATTTCATTCCTTTAAATTTGCTCTTAATTAAGCTAATAAATGTCACCTCCTCCACAAACCTTCTATCAAAAAAAGAAAAAAAACACAAGAACTCAGCTACCATATGATTTATCGACCACAAATACCAACCCCTCCCAGAAGAAGAACACGTCCTCACTACCACATTCTTTTAATGTTGATAGGACCAGACCAGATACCATATTTGGCCCACAATACATGAGACAGAGACAGAGAGTGGTAGGTAAATTTTTCCCTTTTTAGAGAGGCAATAAATGCAAAATCCAAACTATTCCCCTACCATTCCACCGAAGCTGTTATAAAAAACGTAAGAAAAAAGTCACATTTCAAAACTCTTACAAAACACTAGAACCAAATCTCTCTCTTAAAAAAACCTCCATCAAATGGCAGCCTCCACAAGCGCTTCCACCACTTGCAAAACCCACCGACTGGTCACCCCACAGCTTCCAAAACCCTACTCCTCCTCCCAATTGCCCTTCAAGTTCCACAAATTTACCCCCCGCGCCACCACCCCTTCTTCCATCTGCTGCACCCTCACCCGAGATTCAGCCCCTCTTCAGATGGAGGACAAGCACGAAAATGGGTCCTTACCGGTTTCGGCCCGACCCGATTCCTTCGGCCGGTTCGGTAAGTATGGCGGCAAGTACGTCCCCGAAACCCTAATGCATGCCCTCACCGAGCTCGAGGCTGCTTTTCATGCTCTTGCTAATGACGAGGACTTTCAGGTACTGTTAAAATCGATTCTTCCATTCTGTTTTTGACCTTTTCCCTCATTGTTTTGTTTTGAGAATCAAATGTGAAATTTTTGATGTGGTGAGAATTGTATATGAATGAATTGGACATTGCTGCATGTTGATTTGGTTTTTCGTAGTTGGAATTTTTGTCAAGATCAAAATTTGTGAGGAAAATGAATGAAATGTAGCTATTTGAGCAGAGTGGGCCCAAGGTCCTTTAAATTGAATCAAGCTGGGTACGTGACAGTGTATGGTATAGACCCATTTCAAAGCTGCATCTTGATAGAGCTCAGCAAAGCTTTAGGGAATTCGGGAATTTGTAGGATTTGTTGTTTGTTTCATTCAAATAAAATTTGTGATTTTAGTTGCGATGTGGTGTCTTTAGTTACAATTTTTGGTTACCATTCAATTTGAGATATTGTAGGATGCATACGCCGTACATAGTTTTTGGAAATTTTCCCTATAAGCTATCCAAAATGAGCAAGAAGATTTCTTTATTTTTTTTAAAAGATTATTCAGTTTTTCATTTACAAAGAATATGTTTGGTGTGTTGCTGACAATAGAACCCCTTTTACTTCTTGGTTATTGGCTGAATCTGAGTTTCCTGAGCCTGAAAGAGGAGATAAATTTAATTTTCTTTTGGTGGTATACAACTGAGTAACTGATTAGATAAATATATGATATTGCAGAAAGAATTGAATGGCATTTTGAAGGACTATGTTGGCAGGGAGACTCCTCTCTACTTTGCAGAGCGGCTAACTGAACACTACAAACGCCCTAATGGTGAAGGGCCTCACGTTTATCTGAAGAGGGAAGATCTTAACCATACTGGGGCCCATAAGATCAACAATGCCGTTGCCCAAGCCTTGCTTGCTAAGAAATTGGGAAAGAAACGCATTATTGCTGAAACTGGAGCGGGTCAACATGGAGTTGCCACTGCCACTGTTTGTGCTCGGTTTGGATTGCAGTGTATCATCTACATGGGTGCCCAAGATATGGAAAGGCAATCCCTCAATGTTTTCAGAATGCGGCTCCTTGGAGCAGAGGTTTGTTATGATTCTGAAACTCACTTCGTTACATTTATAAGCTGAACATCCAATGAATTATGAAACTGGACTGTACCGAGAGATTTGCATATTTTTCTTACTTGCATATTCCACCAATAATATTTTCCCAGAACAGGGTTCCTAGAAGGGGAGAAGCCAATTGTCTTTCTATGGAATGCTCCATAATTATTATGTTGTGCACGACTCTTGCTTATTGCCCCATCTGTGTTACCTATTAGATTTGTGTCAGAGATCAAATCATGGTTTTCGAGCTATCTAATACTTCAATTTTCTTGGGTTCTTTTTCTCTCAGGGAATTTATTTAGCATATTTTAAGTTTCTATTAATTATATATAATCTTGATTGTATCAGTGTTCCATTCTGCCATCTCATGAATGGTTAGCTGACAGTTGTTTTTTGCTGTGCAAGAAAGGGTGATTTTACTTTTTCGATAATTTCTTTTGGCGTGATTTAGCAAGATAGGTATGCTGATCAGATACATTTTACAGATTGCATCTTTTCTTTACAAGAAATGTGCACTCATTTTAGGGGACAAATTACTGAATTTAACTGCCATGGCCATTTCTTTTGAATTTTGTTTTTCGTTTTCTTGACTCTGCTGTGAAATGGCATAAACTGTTACTTTTATTTGAGTCCAATGCATCGCTCTTACTAATCCTAATTATTTTGAACTTCAATTTCTTTTGCTGTTTTGAAATGCAGGTTAGACCAGTCCATTCTGGGACAGCTACATTGAAGGATGCTACTTCAGAAGCTATTAGGGACTGGGTAACTAATGTAGAGACAACTCATTATATTTTGGGTTCTGTTGCTGGCCCGCATCCATACCCTATGATGGTTCGGGATTTCCACAAGGTGATTGGTAGAGAAACAAGAAAACAGGCACTGGAAAAGTGGGGAGGGAAACCAGATGTGCTGGTAGCTTGTGTTGGTGGGGGTTCAAATGCCATGGGACTTTTCCATGAGTTTGTCGAAGACAAAGATGTTCGATTGATTGGGGTGGAGGCTGCAGGCTTTGGATTGGACAGTGGAAAGCATGCTGCAACTTTGACAAAAGGGGAAGTTGGGGTCTTGCATGGAGCTATGAGCTACTTATTGCAGGATGACGATGGGCAAATAATTGAGCCTCATTCTATAAGTGCAGGGTATGAGAGTTCATTGATCTTTTTAGCTATCAACTAATTTTGTTGTGGCTTTGAAATGTAGTAACTCTGATTTCTTTGTGGCATTTAGCCTGGATTACCCTGGAGTTGGTCCAGAGCACAGTTTTCTGAAAGACACACTGCGCGCTGAATACTATAGTATTACTGATGAAGAAGCCTTGGAAGGTATTGGACTCTGGCTCAGATTTGTTTTATACTCTTTTGACCTTTTCTTTTTCGGGTAGGGGGAAGTAGCACGCTTATGCATAGCATTCGATTGGTTATCTTTAAATGAAATATCAGTTTGACATATGGAATATGTCATTTCCTCTCAAGCTTAATGTGCAGTCCGCAGATGACAACATGAACAAGTGGAGACCTGTAATAAGCTGTGATGTTTGTCATTCTTATTGCAGTGTCCTTGTCATGTTCTTGATCTTAAGTCCTTGGACTATATTTTGTCCCTCGTTTCCATTACATGTGAAGCACACACAACTAGATTTTACTAGATCAGTCTTATCCAGCTTTCGTAATTTATTTTTTCTCCTTGCAGCTTTTAAACGATTGTCAAGACTGGAGGGAATAATTCCAGCTTTGGAGACTTCTCATGCACTGGCCTACTTAGAGAAGCTGTGCCCTACACTCCCTGATGGGGCCAAGGTTGTGCTTAACTGCAGTGGCAGAGGGGATAAGGATGTTCACACTGCCATCAAGCACTTGAAGGTCTGATGCCACCATGATTGAGCAAAACCAAAGGATCGTCTCTCTCCAGAAAGCTAAAGGAACCATAGGAAATAAATTTTATTATTTCCATAATGTGTCTATTAAATCACCCGTTATAGAGCAAGTTTGGAAATGCAATTTGCTGATAGGTCAAGGATGGCTCCAACGAATAAAAGTGGAATAACAGTGGGTTGCTTATTTGAAGGAAAGTTTTGTATCCACATAGTATCAAGACCAGTTTTTGTAATGATGGAAGTTTCTTCGTTTTTGCTGTATAATGTAACTTTATGAATTTCAATGAGGAGACTGCAAATCTAGTTATATCTGAATATTTATGATGGATCGCTATTGCGAAGGCTTTGCTCAATTTCTTCAGAAAAATTCAGTCGTCATTAAAGAATCTAGCCCTTTCAAATTCTCAATTGGTTTTCTATG